GAATAGAGAGAGGGGGGTGCGATATCGCGAGTCGAAGATTTCGACAAGTCCATGTACATCAAGAGCGAATCACACGCGTATATTGTGGAGTGAATCTCAAATGATGTGGGTGAGTTTTGAAAGGGGGGTACATTATTAAGTAACTGTAAAATAGTAAGGAAACTTAGAGAGGGAGACCCGTTCGCGTAGATGTGTCAATAGAGAGGGGGCCTGAGCCATCCGTAATGAGGATGCGAGGATGCTTGCGGGTTGGCGGTACCTCAGGATACGATGCTCACCATGAGTTTCCACGTCCCTTGGTTTGCACAAGCAATAAATCTGTCTCCCCCGAAAACAACGTCCTGCCAGTCGGAATCTGATGCGCTCGTTTGGCTCGTCCAAGTCAAGCCGTTGGGGCTCGTCATCACCCTCTTGCCCGTACCGGTAGAGGATACTGCCACAAAGGTCCCGTTCCCCCATGTGACGCCTTGCCATTCATTGTCACTGGCGCTTGTTCTTGAGGTCCATGTAGTGCCATCCGGACTTGTCATGACGCGATTGTTGGTGCCGGTTTTGCTCACGGCTACGAACAAGTTTTCTCCGTAGGTCACACTTCTCCATTCGTTGATTGCCGCAGCAGTTTGACTCGACCAGCTAATGCCGTCTGAGCTGGTCATGACCAGAGTGCCAGAAGTGGCACTGGCTACGGCGACGAAGAGACTACCCCCATACGTGACGTCCCACCAAGCCGAGTTTGCAGCGGATGTTCTAGACGTCCAGCTCTCGCCATCGGGACTTGTCATGACCGCGTTGGTTGCCACTGCCACAAAGAGACTGTTGCCGTATGTGACCGACCTCCAAAACGTCTCCACCGCGGGCGTCCGAGCGGTCCATGTATTCGCATCTGCACTGGTGACGACCCACGGCGTTTGAAGCGCGACAGCGACCCAGGTTGAATTGCCGTAGGCGACGCCGCTGTACGCGCTGGTAGATGGGACGGTCTGCGCCTGAGCCCAATTTGCCCCATTGTTATTGCTGTAGTAGATGGATGAAGGTGAGCCGACGCTTACGTATGTTCCGTCGTGGTAGCCAATGGCAACCATGTTCCCAGTGTTTGTAAAAATAGTGTCCCACGATGATCCAGGACCAGGCGCCGGCGTGGGCGTGGGAGTAGGCGAGGGAGTGGGCGTGGCAGTGGGGGAGGCAGTGGGTGTGGCTGTCGGCGACGTAGTGGGTGTGGCAGTGGGCGTCGCAGTGGGGGAGGCAGTGGGGGAGACAGTGGGTGTGGCTGTCGGCGACATAGTAGGTGCGGCAGTGGGTGTGCCTGTCGGCGACATAGTGGGTGTGGCAGTGGGCATCGCAGTGGGCGTGGCAGTGGGCATCGCAGTGGGCGTGGCTGTCGGCGACGTAGTGGGCGTGGCAGTGGGCATCGCAGTGGGAAAGGCAGTAGGAGAGGCAGTGGGTGACACGGTGGGCGCAGCAGTGGGTGTGGCAGTGGGCATTCCACTCGGCGAGGCAGTGGGCGTCCCAGTCGGCAACTTGGTGGGCATCGCAGTAGGGAAGGAAGTCGGGGAAGACGTCTTAGGCAAGAGCGCTTCGTACACGTTGAAGTCAGGATCGAAGACCAGGGGTGTGCACACTCCGACGCAGCAGAAGCACTGGCTGGTCACGGTATTCCAGCTGAAGAGGAACGGTACTACCTCGCCCGAGTTCAGTGAGCAGTATTCAAAGCAAGCCTCCGGTGTATCGATTGACTGCAGGTGTCGGTCTCCAGCTTGGCCGAGACCTATGATGCCTCCATGCTTGCTGGATCCCGGATGCGCGGAGAGACGACGGTCCTGGAAGGGGGCCAGGCGCCCTCCTTGAGAGAATCGCTGGCCCTCGCCGAGGAGCACAAAAGGCTGCGTAGGATTGATGGTAGGAGCTGGCGTCGGTGCGCAAGTCGCGGCATTTTTGAGTTTCGAGTATCGCACTTTTACGATGGCGGGGCTGGCCAGCGGCGTGATGCAAGAGGCATCTGTAGCATTCACTAGGTAAGCGAAAGCGTCCACCGCCAACGTCTCAGGGGCACACTCGTCGGCCTTCACCTTGACGCGAAAGCGGCGCTTTCCTCCCTTGCTTTTGGTGAAGGCGACGCCGAGCCAGTAAATAGCAGTCGTTCCATCCGTATCCTCAACAATTTGCGGCGGCGTATAGGGCTTTGAGGACGGGCGCATTGCTGTCCGCTCTACCGATAAGCCATTTGGCAGGTTCAGTTGAAACTCCAGATTGTCGACGGGGTCTTTGCTCTTTAGCGTGACGGTAATCTTGGCCTGGCCCTTCCCTGCCAGGATTCCGCGCTTCGCATTGGGCCTGACTTTGGCCTTGAGAAAAAGCCGCGGACATTCTTGAGAGACGGTGGTCAAAATACTTGTGAAGCCCAGGAGGGCGACAAGGAATGCGCTTGAGGAAATTTTCATACTCTGCTACGCTGAATCTGTGCTTGAAAGGGCACCTGTGGATTTCGCTTTGAAGCTTCCGACGGATGGGATGATTAGAAAATGCGGAAACATGAGCTCGAGGTGTACATGAATTCTGGGTGATGCAGCTATCTGCAATACGGGTAGAAGTGCATTGATTCGCTATTTTACATCTAAAACGCAACGACAATATATACCACGCTTGGTTCCGTTGATGCTCACAGAGAGACGCGAGGATGTCCTCGGCAGCGCATCCTGCCACGAGAACTAGGGGCCATCACCAACGACCTTGAGTAGCACGACTTAATTGGCATGTCACAACAGAAACCATTGCAATAGGGAGAGTAATCCATCGGAAGTCTAGTTACATTACCAGTCGATATATCTTCTCCCTAGAATGGTGACATACACGGAGCAAATCGCTTAGAAGAAGGGACGCCACTGCATGAAACGGAAAGCCACAGCACGAGATGTGCTTTCCATCGCATGTCCTCTTGAAGGCGACAGCTTGGGCACGTGAAGATTAATAGAAATGAAATGCCATTTGTTTGTTCGTAGGATAATCCGCCATCTTACTGGTGACATTACGATTCACGTACAGGTACGTATAGCTTTTTCTCTATGCAATTGACAAGAAATAACGACAATCGCCTCTCGTGTCCTGGCCGTTGACGTTTCCAAAAGATTATTCAAACGTTTAAATCGACGCTACGAAGCACACGACCGAGTCGGGCGTCTCTGTGAGCGGCCGGGGTTTGGTGTGGTTCCATCTGCACCATGCATGTACATGTAGAATGAAAAGAGGAGATAATCGCGAAATGGAGGTTAGCATGGATAAGAAGTCTGAGATATTTAGCATTCCCAACGTAGAATGCGAAGACATCTTCTGGCCTCGCTTACCGGCTAAACTCCCTGACGGAAATTAACGCATACCTCATGCTGGCTTTGTAAATACACACACATACACACACAAAATCAAAATGCTTAGGGTTATTATATTTTCTACTCTCACAATTCATTTCCTACTTTCTTCTCCTCGTCCTCAATTTGCTCCGTCTTGCCCACCATCTTTTGCTCATCCTCGTCACTCTTGTTCTGTAAAGGTTTTCTCTCCTCCTGAATCAGCACAAGTCCTCTTCTTCTCTTCAGCCTTTGGTTGAGCTTGACTGGCACAAAGGTAAGACCAGCCCTTACGCCGTCGCCTCTATCGGTAGACTTTTAAGCTCTTCCTCTCACATTAACACTTCCTCCATCTCATCCTCCTCATAGTTCTACCTTTGATTCGTCCTGTCTAAGCATGCATGGCCATTCTTTTCCTTCTCGAAGCTCCCTCCACTCGCTTTCCGCCTGATTAGCAGCATCTGCGTGACGAAGCTACATGAAGACATTACCATTTATGCCATCCCACCTCTCACAAATGAGGCATCGTTGCGAGGCATGCTCCAATTCATCTTTGGGACTGCATGTCCACCAAGGTTTGCAAATGCCTCTGTCAAGGCTAGCTGGAACATACAAAGGAATGAACGGGAGGAATTACTATCACTGTCATCGCCTCTTCGCCATTCGATGTCTTCGTTGTCATTGTCGGAACATGGTTGACTGCTAGTTCCGTCACTACTGGTCAGGATAACGTGATCTGACAAGACTATCCCGTCCACCTCTTGCAGACGTATGAAAGGCAGGAGCAATATTGACGAAACTCGATCGAGCACCAGATAGCTTGAATACAGATAATGCTTTTGGGGAATAAAACGACCGAGTGGCAAGATCACACCGTCCTCCACGTGCAGATGTATGAAAGGCAGGAACAACATTGCTGAAACTCAGCTTAACAGTGATACAGATAGATAGATAGAATACAAGATAATGCTTTTCAAAAGAAAATATGATTGCGGTAGGAGAACGCATCATCATTGTCATGCTGCTGAGCGCTACCTGAGCAGTCAGTGTCTTTCACGATTGAACGCATCGTCGGCTTTTCCCGTAGATATTTCTTTGTCGGACAAGATTGCTACTGGGGTTACACAACTTTAGTATATTGCCACGTATAATCGACGTAGGACAGCTCATGAATAGGGATGTGTGTCGGAAATTATCGAGGAAACTACTGTCGAGACCGCACCTCTTTGTATTTTGGGTCACATGTCCTCTCACGTCACTCGAATAGAGAGAGGGGGGTGCGATATCGCGAGTCGAAGATTTCGACAAGTCCATGTA